TGTACATAGCAAAGTTTAATGCTTAAAACTAAAGGCTTCAAACTTATACTAAAATAAAACAGAAACTAAGCTAGAAGCCCTATAGGAAGCAGAATAACCTAACTGAAACAATCAGGAGAAAAGCAAATATATAGATAACTTACATTTAACTTAGCTATAAGTTAATTTTAAGTTAATTAAGTTAAGTTTTAAGTTAGTTAAGTTAAATTTTACTTATTACTAACTTAAAACTAGTTATACTAACAAAGTTAACTTATTATTAAACAAGAATACTGACAAGGAGAACAACTCAGACAGACTAGAGCAGTGATGTCCATCCCTTAAGGGCTTTGCTGTGGGATATGAGTGAAAGTATGTGATGGTACATTGTATGTGTCTGGATGACTTACTCTGGTGTTTATAGTCAGTTGTATCCCTCAAAAATTGCCACTCTCCTTAAAGCTATCCTAACTGTTCATGTACCTATTGTAATGGAAAATTAAGTGGATATGTGTTTGTTCCTCATGCAGCCCACATTCACAGTGCGGGTTGCATGAAAACCCAAAGTTGAACCATTGCAGATATTGCTTGAATTTGCCATGGCCTGTAAGAAGCTGAGTGAGGGAGAGTTTTCATATGATTATAAATATTTGAAAAACTTTGGTTTAATTTAAAATATTTAATGGTAAACCATAGCTTTCTATGGGAAGGATATGGAATAAAATATAAAAATAAACCTAAGGGAAAATTTGCTATTGCCATTATGAAGCACAGGCATTGAAAGATAAAAATAAAGGACAAATTGTGTTTTTTCTTGTTTCAAGAAGTACAGTTTAGTGAAAATAAAGGATTGTCCTTTGAAATAAAAGATGTCTGGCAACCTAACCCTAAATTACTATAATATGTAAATGTTCTTTTAAAAAAAATTACAATCAATTAATTATTATATTAAGTTTTACAAAAAAAAATCTTAAAATGTGTTACTAGAAAACAATTTTTTAAAGTAATGTAACAGTTTGATTTATCAAAAGTTCAAATAAAAGCTTTTAACACCTAGGCTTTACATTATTTGAAAACGTAACTGAAATAGAAAATGGAAGTTGAATTATGTAAAATCCAGTTTTTACACTTTCAGTTTTGCATAAATCAAGTGAAGACAAATTTGAAAATATTTTTATGTTTCTGTTCAGTTTCTCAATTATAATTTAACTAATAGGCAAACAAAGCAGTTTTTAAATGACATCAACAAATTGTGAGCCATCTCATTGTGTGTGTGTTTTGTATGTGATCTCTTTCTTAACATTTTTGAAAATAGTACAACAGAAAATCTGATGCTGAATTAAGACTTCACTTGTAATTGACAGGAGCATCAAACCAACCAAAGTTTTCTGTATTTTGAAAAATCAGTAATTAGTTTCAACAGTTGCCACAAAAATTATCTCTCTATTGTTTTCTGATATTTAAGAGCTTAACAAAAACTAAATTAAAATGATTACTTAATTTTATTAGTGTTCTATATAATTTTTGTTTTTAGGCAATATGGAGCCCAGACCCTATAATGCATAAATTTTGTTGTTTTCAACAAAATTTATGCAAAATTTAGTCTTATTTTGTTATAGTTCATCCATTTATAGTTACGGTAACCCAATTGGCAAAGCCAGAAACACATGTTAAGTCACTTTTTAGGGTACACAATAGCAGCCAATGTCTATAAGTACTGTCAAATGGGTAGGCTACTGTACAATACATATATTAATTAAGGACTGAATGGCCAAGTGATCAAGATAGCAGTCTACTGCTCGGGGGACCCAGGATCAAACCTGGATGGGTCAAAAAACCACAGGAATTTTTTAGGTGGTGGACCGTCCGGATACATTGGGCCCTGTCCCTCACAACCTGGCCCTATTGTGGGCATGGCTGTGCCTATTGTGGGCATGGCTGAACCTATTGTGGGCTATCTGAAGAAAGGCCCTCTTAGTGCCCAATGGGGTGGAGAGTTAAAAAAAAAAGTATGGTACTGTACATATACATGACTGAGACTTAAACATTTTAATTTGGATTGAGCTCAATCAAATAGCTCTTCTCCAATAAGGTTTATGACTATTTACTTTTGGCATTTTGTTTTTTTAGCTATATTTTTTGTCTGAATTTTAAAATTTGTCTCCTTTTTGGAATTTCCTCAAAAAATTGGTTACTTCATAAAAGAAAATTACCTACCAACTCTGAACACATTGGACGGTCCTCTGGCAGAAAAACTGGCAATGAGAATATTACATTAACCACAAGGAAATGAAAAAATGGGGACAAACGGAGACAAGACTTCTTTCCAGGGAGAAAAGCAGGGACACATCCTTGCCGGGGACAGAGAGTCAAAAGCAGGGACTGTACCTGGAAATCAGGATGAATGGTCACCCAACTGTAGTCCTATTTATTTAACCAATTGATAACATTAATTTAAGTGATCTGCCATCAGTATAGACTATTTTCAGAGTGATTACAATAAGCAGATTCTACTACAGGTGATTCTTTTTCTAGAAACCCAAAATTTCTTGATAATTGTGTACAAAGCTGCTTGGATATCAGAGGGAGCCATTTTCAGCATCTGGTTTAGGAAGGCCTATTTTGCCAGAACGTAAATGCATGTAAATTTTCAAAGGAAACAATAAAGCAATAAAAAGTTATTGAAGAATGCTTGGGTTTCTTAGCAAGAGAATCATCCTATATAATTTATTACTACTAAGTAAAACACATTTTTTTTGTAAAACACTGCAAAAATAATTGCAGTTTTCCACCATTAACTTTAAAACAGTATATATCAACTTAGAATAAAATTGAAATAAGAACCATTATAACCTACACATTTTTGCCAATAAGAAACAAATTTATCTATTCCAGTAGCATAGAATTTGGAAGTCCTGGAACCAATAAATTCTTCAAAGGCATTTTGGACTCCTGCTTGGTTGTAGAAAACCTCTTGCAGGAAGTTGCCAAAGTACTTAAAAAAAAATGATAATTGGTCAGAGAGGTCTGGTGAGTAAGCTAGGTGAGGTAGAGTTTCATAGCCCATATTTTTCAATTTCTGCAGTCATTAGTGAGACGTAGTTGCCATATAAAAAAATTGGTCTTATTTGATTGTCCTATGTCGGATGTAAATGTTTCAGTTTTTGATGCTTGTAGATTTCCTGACAATACTTCTCTGCTATGATAGTTTAATCAGGATTCAAGAAGTTGTGGATAATTCCACTTACAGATCACTAAACAGTGATCATAACTTTCTTTTGGTGCTGCTTCGGTTTGGGGAAGTGTTTTGGTGGTGGTTCATCATGATCCAGTCATTGTGGAAAGCTGTTGATTATTGTACAGAATCCATTTCTTGCCACAAAGCAATCAAGAAATGGGTCATTTTTGTTGTACAAAAGAAGCATAGAGCAAATTTCGTAATGGTGAAGTTTTTGATATTCATTCAGCTCATGTGGCAGCCATTTGTTGAGCTTTTTTGATTTTCCTATTTGGTGAAAATGTCTACTGTCGAATGGTTAACATTAAGTTCTTATGCAACCTCTCAAATTGTTTTCTGGAGATCAGCTTCAATAATGACCCTCAATAGGTTGTTATTAATTGCAGAAGGATATCCATGACCTTCCTCATCTTCAAGGCTCTTGTCTCTGTTATGAAATTTTTGGAACCAAATGTTGAGCTGTATATTCACTAATTGTCTCCTGGCCAAATGCTTAGTTGATATCGTGTGCAATTTCCACTGCTTTACATCCCATTTTGAACTCAATAAAATTGCTCAAATTTGCATTTTTTTTTCTATTTTTTAATTTGGCAGTATAAAATAAACAAGAATAAACATTAAAACAAAACAATTAGTATAAATCAGTAGGGGGCACTTTGTACTTCAAAATGATATGTTACATTAATTAATATAATTAAATAAAATTTTAGCCCAAAATAAGCCTTAAAATTTAAAATAATGAAAACTGCAATTATTTTTGCAGCACTACTATGCATATGTAGCTAGAACTATTTCTAAGACTAACAGCACAAAACCTTTCTCACTAATTTCTAGCCTTATTAACTGGAGTACAAACATTTTCGGCCTTCTTAATAGGCCTTCCTCGGATACACTGTGGAGCGTCGGTTAGAAGAAGTTTAAATGCTGCCAATGTTTACCCAGGTGTCGTCTTACCTGTGACGTCTTCGTCGATGATAAGTATACGATACCGAGGGAGAAAAACTACATACTTTTGGTAAAGAAGGGAGGTGTGCAGATAGGATACTTGCTAAAGTTGGGGGAAAAAATAACATACTTTTGGTAAAGAAGGGAGGTGTGCAGATAGGATACTTGCTAAAGTTGGGGAAAAAGATTTTAGAGTAAGCGCGCTACGTACAGGAGATGCACAATCACCACAGGGGGTTAGTGGGGAGTGATGTCATAGTTGAGGCCGTAAATATTCAACGTTACCGTAAGAAGAGGCGTGCGAACGACCATGGATGGGAAGGGGGGGTGTTACGATTAGAAGGGGATGGGGAGGAGGGGTTACGCTTAGAAGGTAGAATTGGAAATAAACGCTACAAGTAAAAAGCGCTAACGGTTGCACGCGGTGAGGGTGGGATGGTCTATTTATTTCAAGGGGTTGTCGAAGAATGATTTCCAAGCAGAGGAGAGCGAGTCCGCATCTCTGCTGTTGATACAACCGTCTTTGAGGGATTGCTTAAATATTTCGATTGTTTCGACTGTTCTAAGCTTGGTGCGGTCGTGCATAGGAATAGTAATCCTCGCCTCTTCCCATTTGGTCATTATACCAGGTTCGCTTGCAAACTGGGCAAGGGTGGAAGTGAATTTTTTGTTGTATGCGTCATACTTGTGCTCAGTTATCCTCCTTCTAAGCGATCTATTGGTTGAGCCAATGTATGTTAGCTTCTTGTACGGGTTAGATCTGCCGTCCTCCAAAGGGACGGTGTAGACTCCTGGTCTCCTGGCTTCGCTGCATTTGTCCTTGGTGTTAGCTAGAAGGTTATAAATCGTAGGGTTGTGTCTGTATGCGAGAGTAGCGTTGACCTTTTTTTGCTATGAAGTTATAGGCCTGGCTCGTTCTAGGGTCAAAATCGACGGTAATGCGCTTACCTTGTTGCTTTAGAGGTTTAGAAGTGGCATCTCCGGTTGTTAAGCATCTATGAGTTTTTTGCGCAAGCCTATCGATAAACTTACTGCTGAAACCGTGGGCTGTGGCGATGCGCTTGATGCGTTGGATTTCTCGTAGCGCGTCGTTAATGCTAGAGCAATGGGTAAAAGCTCTGCGGATAAGAGCCCTGAAAGCGGACATTTTGTAAGTAAAGGGGTCATTCGAGGTTGCAGGGATAAAGAAAGATTGAAGATTAGGCTTATGGAACACACTAGTAGTTATGCAGCCATGATCCAAGAGGATATTGAGGTCCAGGAAGTGGGCCATCCTGTCATCCTGCTGGTCTAATTTAAGCTTAAGTCCAAAAGGGTTGTTGTTCACAATCTGAAGAACGGTGTTCAGATCCGGCTTGGACTTCCAAATGATAAGAATGTCATCAACATAGCGCGTATAGAGAACGATTTCCGCGTTGAAGGACTGTAATACTTGGTTATCCAGTTTTCTTACAATTAATTCGCAGAGGTCTCCAGAGAGGGGGCTACCCATAGGTACTCCCCTTTCTTGAAGATAGATTCGTTGGTTGAAGGTGAAGAATGAGGTGTAGCACATAAGGTGGGCCAGCTCCAACACCTGCTTGTGGTATCCAGGTGGAGAGGCTTGGAAAAGGAAATCTCTAAGGGCACAGAAGCACGGTTCCAATTTAATGGAAGGATACATAGCTTCAAAGTCGAGAACTGTAATAAATTCCTGATCCTTCAGAGCGATATTCTGCAATTTAGTGATGAGTTCCCGCGTGTTCGAAACGGCGTAGTTATAATCTTTCAAATGGCCTTTAAGGAGCTCATGTAGACCCTTCTCAATAGGTAGGGTTGGAGATCTTGATTTGTCAACAATCGGCCGGATTTGCGTGCCTGGTTTATGGGTTTTAGCATAGCCGAATAGCCTTGGTATCTCGGGTGATTGCATGGTCGCGTTCCTTAGATGCAGGTGTTTAGCTAATGCTGAGTTGGTGAACCTGGAAACCCTATTTTGGAGCTTGTCTAGATATCGTTCATCTATTGTTCGGCATTCTGTAGAACTGATGTATTCTTCGAGCAACTTAGTGTATGTATGTTTCTTCATAAGAACAACGTTTCTGCTTTTGTCTGCTCTTGTAAGGGTTATTTCGTTAGTTTGGAGCCATTCTTTACTTTTGCTTACATTTGTCCAGAATTCATTATCTTTGTTGTCTGTTTGCTTGATTCTTTTGCTGAGAGCTGTGTTCCACCTAAAGAAATCCTTATGTTGAGCCTTAATTGGCACAAGCAGCCTTTCAATGTTCGGAATGATGGTATGCGCTGAGATCTTCGAGGGCTTCGGAGCAAACATACCACCGAAAACGTTTGTAGTCCAGTTAATAAGGCTAGAAATTAGTGAGAAAGGTTTTGTGCTGTTAGTCTTATTTTTGCAGCAACTTAATAAAAATTTATTTTACTCATGTGCATTCAAAAACTGTCTTTAAGTATTTATAAATATTTATATTTAAAAATAATCTAAATTTGCTAAAATAAATTAAAAGTACTTGTATAGAATACTGTACTTAACATCTACTTTTTGTCCCCCACTAAAAATCACAATGGAATTTGCAAATCACTGGCAAAAAGTCCCCGCAACGTACCAAGGCCCTGATACCTTGATCATATACTCAACTAAGACATTCCAAAAATTTCCTCAGTCTTCTACTGTAATTGGCAAATATCTTTTCAATTGCTTTGTTTAGGGCTTTGGAAGAGCTACTCATGTAGCTCTGAGCCAGTTATGCTGATGCAGCTAATAACAATTACAATTTGTGATGACCAACATCAGTATTCCACAGAAGAATTTAACTTTTTATCTTTATAAACATCACAGCCTGTTCATAGTAAATTCTGTAACATTTTCATTTGCTTTAATCTATGTGAAAAACATTTATAGCTACCACTGGAGAAATTACTTTTGTAGGATTACTTTTGTAGTTACATAACTTGTTATCATTGTTCTCAAAGTCCCGCTAGCAGTAATTGGACAGAAATTTGAATTCTCTTAATGGCTGTGATACTCTGTGTTGTGGCACTTGCACGAGTAGTTTTTCACAGGATGCTAGAATTTGAATGATGAAAGGAAGTATGTGTGAAAGGCATTTAGGGTATTATTCTAACAATTTAACACTTAACATCTTTAATGTTGTTGAAAGTGCAAAGAATATACAATAAATTTATGTTATTTTTCTTGTGTTTGAAAGCTTATAACATTGAAATACAGTTCTGAAGTTCACATCAGTGAATAATTTGGTATGTGATGATTTCTAATTTTTATTTTAATTCTCAAATAATTTTTAAGCCTTTTGGTTCTTCATTGGGAATAAAATTACGGAATGAAGGACGGACTGAGAGGAACTCCTGATGATGAACCAAAAGACTTGAAGTGTTAGGATAATAAAGATAATGTAGTCATCTTTATTATCCAGTATGAAGATCAGATGTTGGTTAAGCAATCCTATATAAAAAGAAAAAAACAAATGTTACGTTGCTGATTTTTAAATGGATGTTTTCAATAGAGCAGTGTTTTTCAACCTGTGGGTTGCGACCCCCAGGAGGGTCGCAAAGCCTTACACGGGGGTCGCGGGTAAAAGAAAAAGACAAGTGTTTGTAGGTCCTACACTACTATAAATAAAACTACAATTTCAGTGAGAAGGCTTTGCGTTTTTATTTTAAAGTACAATTGGTTTTTCGATCGATATTTAGGTCTCAACAGAAAGAAAATTAAATATGTAGTTTTTAAAATCACTGATATAGTTTTAATATGGTCTTGGGGGTCGCCAGAATTTTTTTAACTTCTAAAGGGGTCGCGTATTCAAGAAGGTTGAAAAACACTGCAATAGAGAATGAGAGATGCATTTGATTCAAAGACATTTTTTAAAATTAATTTGAAACATTGTTGGAATTGAAAATGGAAACCACATTCAGTTCAAAGAATTTTATTTTGGAGAGAGAATTTTAGAAATAGAATGGAGATTATAGAAGAGAGATAGAACCTTCAGGTTTTTCATCCTCTCTTCAAAATTAAGGGAGCTTAAAGAACTGCAAGTGATTATATGTCATGTTAATTGTGCTCCTATAGATGAGTATGTTGTAAACTTTTCCTTCAGTTTGTTAATGTGTTGATTATATATTATTGTATTCAGTTTATGAGTTATCACATTAAAAGTTACTGTGCCAATGCACAGTAACTTTTAGTATTAGCTTAGGGTTGAAAATTTTAACTCTCCAGAAAAGCAGTTTTTTGGAAGAATTAAAATAAATTTATATATCACCCACAGCATTCACTAAAACTGGAGCAAAAAAGGTCTACTCATCTCCATTTCTTGGACATTGATATAAGATTTAAACAAGGAAATGTATGCACAGGTGTGTACTTAAAACCCACTCATGCTCCTCTCTATATACCATCTTAGTCTAATGACCCTTATAAATATAAGTTATTGGCATTTAAGGCACTCATCAGAAGAGTCTTTTTATATTGTACCAACATTCAGGACAGCCTCAAAGAGATTAATAGAATTAAAAGTATTTTAATAAATTTGGGTTATAAAACCTCTCTAATTGATGGGTCAGAGGTTACAAAGAAAATAAAGTTAAAACATATACTAACTTCAAAAGAATTCACATACAACAACCAATTGGGAGGCATTGTGAATGAGCTAGCTTCTTATAAAAACTTGAGAATGATCTATAAAAGAGCACTCAATATTTATAATTTACTACAAAATGAAAAAGACAATAAAAAAGAAAGAGAAATCTAGAGTATATAAAATATCATTTAAGAATTTCAACAGTTAAGAATTGCAAAAGATTATGTGGATGAGACTTGAAGAAATCTTGCAGTACATCTGAGGGAACATAAGTAAAATGTTGAAAAAGGCCACAACAACACAATCTTAGTGATTATGGCACAGAATGAAGGAGCAGTTGTAAAGTGGGAGGAAGCAAACATCATTAAAACAGTGCATTCTCCATCCATTGCATTGGTTTTTTAGGTTGAAAATGTTAGTGTAATAAAAACTTTTTGCTCAGCAAACATTAGGTGGTATAGTGATTTGATGTAAATTTATATATTTTATATACAGTAGGTCTAGTAATGTCATTAGATAAAAGATATTACTGCCCATAATTACAAAACAAAACACTGATAAAAAGATTAAAAAATACAAATATATAATATTTGTTAGTTTTTATAACATTTTTTTACATTTATTTTTAAAATGACTAAAATCAACTTCCTAAAAAGTAAAACTAAATTAGCAATGTTGGTAATAACTTGATTACTAGAAGAGCTATATACAGTTAAGCAGTACAAGCAAAGCAGAACATGATGTATTTATTCTTACTCTGTTAGGAACTCTTAATGCAAAAAAAAAAGGTGCTATTAAAAATATTTAAAAAATAAGATTTTATCAAAGTATGAAATATGACAACTTAAGTTTGGAAAAACTTAGTTTTACTGTGGAAACCTCTCCACATTTATTTGCTGGCAAATTATAGTTTACTTAAACTTAGATAAATCCTATTTAATTTAGTTGTTACTCTCTGCATCATCACAGGGACCAGTAGTATAATGTATGTACTGTACCATACATACAGGACCAAGAAATAGGAATAGATAGAATTACCTCATCAGTAGATGCAGGGATGATATGTGGTTCTGAGGAGTGGTAGCCTCCAGAAAAAGTTTTTAAATTTAGAGATATTTGTTGAAATTTTTTTTAAAGGAAAAGGTATTAGATAAAATGTCCACCAATTAATTCCAACATTTTGTATAGATCAGGGACAATGATTTATGCAGTGTATTAGCTAACCAATGGGTTTCTGACCAATGAGAAGCCAGCCAATGGAGACACAAAGGAAATAAAGAGTGCATGGACCTGAAGAAAATGGTATTAATTAAGATATAAAACAGAGATTCAAGACAAAAGAAAGTAAATAAATTAAACATGTACAAAGTACCACAAACATGCTACAGCTGTATCCTAATCCTACAAATGTATCCTAAATGTGTGATAGAACTACCCACAGATTCTCTTTCTTTCTTAACGTAAGTGGAAATAGGATACAGTGAATGCAGAATTCGATGTTTGAGATATAACTTGACATAAGGGTAGCTAGTGTCAGAGACTGCTGAAATAATATGATGTAATTCCAGCAATTTTTGTTGTTTGAGAAGGTATAGAGATAAGCTCTACAGATCAAAGCAGAAAGAGTTTACATGTTAGAATAAATTATTATTGGCATATTTGTTTTCATATAAAAGTATATTGATAGTCAAAACTTTCTCTTAAGAATGCAGCAGATGCTAAGCAAGCCCAGAGAATTCGCCCCTGGTGTTGACTGTCTGTTTTCCCTAATCTCTTGCTGAGTAGCTTGTTCAGCAATTGAGTTATTGTATGGCAACTGGGACAAATACAGCATTCAAAATTTTGTTTGAAAAGCAAGGTATTTGAAACTGTTTATAATTAGTTCTAAAATTGTAAACAGTTTGTTATATATGTGTGATTTTTAGATTGCAGAATTTGTTGAATTATAAACCTGAAGTTTACAATTTAATTCTGCAGTCTAAAAAGTTAAAATAACCACTACATTGTTAGCCAGTGACCTTACTATTGTTTTTTAAGTTACTTTTGTTTAAAACTGTACACTATTAGCATTTTTTTTCTAGATTTTCCATTAGAAAGCTCATCCATTTATTGGTTAGAAGACTTGTAAGGAACTTGTAAGTAGAAAAAGATCTCTCTCTGTTGAAAGATGCCATAGGAATATACTTGAAATTAGCAAAGAATGATGTTACTTCTTCTGGTAATTTTGTATCAGTATATCCACCAGCTGTATTTTCTGAATTGACAATGAACTGTAATTGTTCTTCAGCAAATTGTTCATCTTAACTTCTATGTCACCACCTACAGATGATATTCTCTTATGCACATCTAACATATTTAATGATTTCTTCAGTAGCATCTATATTTTTTCCAGTTTTTTTTTACTCATTTTGCTCTATGGACCTAAGAGGATCTTTTTATCAAACCCATTATGGGATTATGGGTTTGGTCAGGCTGAGAATGGAGCAGCCAGATGGTGAGGGGCAGGACCTAACATATTCAGGACAAACTGCTCATAAAGAATTTCCAATAGTTTTTCATTCTGTCTGAATTTGTTCCTGGGTCTTCAGAGTTATAGACTAAAATTGCACTATATAGCACTTGAAATATACATTTTGCATGTTGAACATGCAGAATATGCAAAAACTGGGAGCAAACTAAGATATATGTGCAGCTTCATGCACTATAAAACTTCTCATAC